GTGTGTGTGTGTGTGTGTGTGTGTGTGTGTACCCACGCTGGGCCAGCTCGCAGCGTGGCTGAGGCCGCGCGGGCTGTCAGGTGCGCGCGCAGCCGCCCCTCCTCCCCCGACCCCCGGCAGCGGGGGATGCCTCCGGCGATCTCTCCCGGTGTGGTTGTGGTGTTGCCGAGGACCAGGGCGGGGCGCTGTTATTTTCCGCCTCCCAGTGTCCCCCCAGCCCGGCGGGGCACCCCCAGCCCCGCCTGCGCTGGAAACGTGTTCCTCCCACATTGGCTGGTGAGATGAGCCGTCCTCGGACCGGCGTGTTTCCTGTTCCCATGGCCCCGCCGCAGGGCGGATCCCCCCCCCCCCCCCCCCCCGCCCACGGAGGGTGGAGCCTTTGCCATAAGGGCGGCGACTTCACCCGCCGAGCTTCGAATCCCATGGCACCCCCCCTCCCTACCCCTATCCCCTCCACACTCCCTGCTCCTGTGCACGACGGTCCTCGCCGATCATCTCCCCCTTGTCCGGTTTGTCCCCCGCCCTCCCTTTCACGTCATCTTCCTGCCCTGACCCAGGCCCAAACTCACCACCTCCCCCCCCCCCCCCCCCCCCTCCAAAACCCGCCTCCCTTTCCAACTTCCCCTGCCGCGCGCCCCGGCTCAGACACGGCCTCACCATGGACAAGGTCATCATGTCCGCCGCGCGGCGCTGCCCATACGTAGCCCACATGGCTTTCCCTGCTGGCAATCCCTTCAAGGGTGCGGCGGTCACCATGCCCTGTCGCGCGCGGCACACTGCCCCCCCCCCCCTCGCTCCAAAACCCGCCTCCCTTTCCAACTTCCCCTGCCGCGCGCCCCGGCTCAGACACGGCCTCACCATGGACAAGGTCATCATGTCCGCCGCGCGGCGCTGCCCATACGTAGCCCACATGGCTTTCCCTGCTGGCAATCCCTTCAAGGGTGCGGCGGTCACCATGCCCTGTCGCGCGCGGCACACTGCCGCCGTTGCGGCCTTCAACCAGCGGGCGGCGGCCGCGGCGGCCACCACCACCACTGCCGCCGGGCTGGCGGCCCCCGCCGACACCCCTGTCATCGGCGCCAATGCCGCGGGCTACGCCACGTCGGTTCCCGAGGTGAGCCCCGGCGTGCGCACCCCGTCGAAGCTCCCGCTGGCCGATCTGTCGACTGGCACCCCCCCGGACAGTCTCTTTGAGAATGTGGTCTCCGGCTTTGGCCAGTGCGGCTCCGGCAACGGCGGCTGCAGCCACCAGCCGGCCCCCAGCGCCGGGTCCTGTGGCCATGCGGCCGCCGGGGCCGGGTCTTGCGCCTCCGGTGTGGCGGCCTCCTCCGGCTACCATGCGGTGCTGCGGGCCCAACAGGCGTCGGGATCCTGCTGCGGCGGGCGCTGCGGCGGGTCGGCCGCCATGACAGCCACCCCGGTGGTGGCGGATCGCACGCGCGATTTCCCCGCCGGTGCCTTCGCCTATGACGCCTTCTTCCAGGAGCAAGTCGAGGCCAAGCGCCGTGACCGCAGCTACCGCGTGTTCAACAATGTCAACCGCATTGCCGGGGCCTTCCCCGCGGCCACGCACCTGTCGACGGTATCGCTGTCGAGCGCCATGGCCCTGGCCGGGGCGGCGGCCGTTGCCGCCAATGCCGACGGCCCGGCTTCCACCGGGTCCAGTGTGTGCCCGGTGACCGGGCAGCGCGACCCGACCGGCCCGCTGCCGGCCGAGACGGACCCCGCTTGTCCGGTGACCGCGTCGGACCGCGGCGCGGCGCAGATCCACCCGCGCGATGTCACGGTCTGGTGCTCAAACGACTATCTCGGCCTGGGCCAACACCCGGAGGTGCTTGGCTCCATCAAGGCGGCGGTGGATGCGCATGGAGCCGGGGCCGGTGGCACGCGCAACATCGCCGGCACCAGTGCCGCGCATCTGGCCCTGGAAAAGCGCCTGGCCGAGCTGCACCGCCAGCCGGCGGCGCTGGTCTTCCAGTCGTGCTATGTGGCCAATGACACGGCCCTGGCCACCCTGGGCGCGCAGCTGGCCGCCGCGTCCCCCACCGGCCGGTGCATCTTCTACTCGGATGCCCTGAACCACGCGAGCATGATCCATGGCATGCGCCATGCCGGGCCGAAGGCCCACCGGCGCATCTTCCGCCACAATGATGTCGCCCACCTGGAGGAGCTGCTGGAGGCCGATGCGGCCGAGGAGGAGCGCGCCGCTCGCGAGTCCGGTCTCTTTGTCCCGGGGCAGCCCATCCCCCGGTCGCCGCGGGTGGTGGTCTTCGAGTCGGTGTACTCCATGTGCGGCACCGTCGGCCCGATTGCCGACATCTGCAAGGTGGCCCAGCGCCATGGGGCGCTTACCTTCCTGGATGAGGTGCATGCGGTTGGCCTGTATGGTGCCACCGGCGCCGGTGTGGCCGAGCGCGATGGCCTCATGGACCAGGTGGACATTGTGTCTGGCACCCTGGGCAAGGGTGCGTGTGCTTTGGGGCGGGTTTCTATTTTATTTTTTTCCCCCCCTCCCTCTCGGCGTCTGTGTGTCCTGCCCATCCCTTGGGCGCACTTTTTTTTGTCCCCCCTCGCTCCTTTTCTTCCTCCTCGTCACCTGGCCTCTTTTTCTCTTTACTCATCTCTCTCCCCCTCTCTCTGTTGATCTCGCTCTCTTTGGTCTCCCCTCTGCCACCGCGGGCATTTTTTTTTGGCGGATGTCCGGTTGCATACCATGCCACCGCGCGACCCCTCATGCGGCGTGTGCACGTACGGCGGGCCTGTACCACCCTTGGCGCATGTGTGCATCCACACACGTCCACAGCCTTCGGCAACGTCGGTGGCTACATCGCCGGCTCGCACAGCCTGATCGACACTCTGCGCTCGTATGCGCCGGGGTTCATCTTCACCACGGCCATGCCGCCGCATGTGGCGGCCGGCGCCCTGGCGGCGGTGGAGCTGTCCGCCTCGCCGTCGGTCGGCGGGCATCTTCGCCAGTTCCATGGCGAGGCGGTGGCCGACATCAAGTCCCGGCTGATGGATCTCGGCATCCCGGTGCTGGCCAACGACACGCACATTGTCCCGGTCATGGTGTACGATGCGGCCCTGGCCCGGCGTGTGTCTGACCACCTGCTCCACCGGTATGGCATCTATGTGCAGGCCATCAACCAGCCCACCGTGGCCCGGGGCGCCGAGCGCCTCCGAGTGACCCCCTCGCCGGTGCACACGACCGCCATGCGCGACCACTTTGTGGAGGCCATGGATGCCGTGTGGCGGGACTTCGGCCTGCCGCGCGTGGAGCCCGGCACCTCGGTCACGGAGTTCTGGCGGCCGGACTTCCTCCAGGCGTCCGACGCTCAGCTCCAGGTCCTGGAGGCCAATGCCGCGCCGATCGCCCATCCGCAGCGTGTGTGAGCGAGGTGCGGAGAAGCATCCACCGCGCAGGGGGCAGGGGGGGGGGTGGGGGGGCGGGGGGACCCGGGTGCTCGAGATGCTGGTCCCCGGGATCCGGCCGGACTGAGGCAAGCTGCCAAGGGCCGACGCGGAACAGGCAAGGGGCCTGCTGCGTGTTCGCACGGGGAAAGTCTGCCGGGCTCAGCCCTGCGGGTTTTTTTTTTGTCCACGCACCACACCCTGTGCTACTGCCACCCTCCCTCCCCCCTCCCCTCCTCCCTTGCCACCCACCATCCTTCCCGCCCCAAGCCATCCATGTGTGCATGGTTTTCTGTTCCTTCCCCTGCGCGCGCGTGCGCGTTCACACGCACCATGCGAGACACGCGCAGGGGGGATATACACATGCCGCGGCTCGCGCTCAGCGAGGGGGGCTCCCTTATCTCTCACCCCCCACCCCGATACCCATGCTCTTCCCTACTTTCCTGGGCCTCTCCTCTGTGCCCGTCCTGAGGGGTGGCGTCTTCCTCGCCATCTTTCCCGAGGGGAGGGGGGAAGCCCAAATTGGTTTATTGTTTGGGCATGTGTACGCGTGGGTGGTGGTGGCGGTGGCGGTGGCGGTGGCGGTGGTGGTTCACTCCAGGCGATCCGGGCTATTCGGCGTGGCAATGGGGATGGGCTGGTATTGGTGGCTGCCAGTGCGCAGATACTGGCGGAATTCCGGGGCCGTGCGGCTGTACTCACGCCACTTCCAGGAAAGGACCAGCAGAGCAGCCACCACCGGGGCCACGAAGCCCACCAGGCCGGCATACAGGCCGAAGGAGCGCCAGTCCGGGCCATGGCGGAAAACCGCCCCGGGCTTCGGCCCCGAGAGCGACCCCGGAAGGCCGATCATGGCCGGGGTGGTGATTCCCCGGTGCCGACAGGCAGATCCCGCCAGGGCCAGGGCCATGGATGGGTTGGCCAGGATGATGAAGGGCAGACTGATGCCGCCGCCGGGGGCCGGGCCGGAGCCCGAGCCAGTGGTGGCTGTGGCAGCCGGTGCGCCTGCCACAGACTCCGCCAGCCAGGCAGGGGGGTGTTGGCCTTTTCCTTGCGAGGAGGGGCCCGCGTGGGATGGCCCCCCGGCGGGGGTGTGGACGGTCCCCCGGGGATGTGGATCCCCGCTCCGGTAGTGGCGGGCCTCGGCCAGAGCGTGGCTGCCCTCGTCCTCGCCGCCCTCCGCGTCCTCGCCGTCATCATCATGGTCGACAAAGAGGAAGTCGATCTCGAAATCCAGGCGGTCATTCGGGACCAGGGCCGGTGGCCGGATGATCACCGGCGGAGATGGCGGCGGTGGCCGGAGGACCATTCCTGGCGGGGGCTTCGGTAGGCCGGACACCGGGCTGGGCAGCGGCCGGTATGGGGCACTGCCATGCACCGAGACCATGGCTGAGCCATACCGGTGAACCAGGCCCGCCACCGGCAAGGTGGCATTCAGCAGGAGGAGGTGTTGGTGGCGGAGCTCGTCACCGAGCGGCAACGATGCCGGAGGCACCACGGCATGTGGCGTGCCCATGTCAGGCTCGTGGGCCACCCCGGCCGGGGCGTGGTGGAATGGCTGGGCGCCTTCCGGCCGCGGGGGTAGCCGGTCCGGCGACCAGAATGCCGAGGAGATGGCCAGCGACAGGAGCGACGCGGCCAGGAGGACACCCCCAAGGCTGAGAACGGCCGCCCGGCGTCGGCGAGTCTGGCGCCGGCGCCAGTAGTCCGCGGCCGAAATGCGCTGCGGCCCGGCGGCCGCGCCTCCTCGGCCGCGGGTGCGGCTCCGGCGCAGCAGTGACCCCGACAGGCTGGTCAGGGCCTGCTCCAGCTCGCGTAGAGCCCGCATCCGGGATTCCTGGCTTGACAGCCGGCGGAAAAATTTGTCAACCCTGCTGCCCGGCATCGGGGCCAGGGCGAAGAAGAGCGCCCCGAGGGCGATGAGTGTGCCGCAGCTGGCCACACTGTCGGCAATGGCCCTATGTCGACCAGGCGGCGTCGGGCGGGCGGGGAGGGGGGGGGGGGGGGGCACAACTCTGAACCAGGGACCGGGGGCACGCGGCGCCAAGGCCAGGCGCCATCGAGGAGGCAAGAAGAGGAGGATGGTCAGGCCGTTCCCACGCACACCCAGAAACAAACAACAGGCCAGATCGGGCGCGCAAAGGCACGCCCAAGCTCGGAATCTGGGGGGGGGGGTATGGCGGGTATGTAAGAGGACAGGCCACCCGGCTGGTGGACAGACAAGACCTCTCCCGGCCGATGGCTACTCAAGAGGTCACACGCGCTCACGTACACTTCGTCCCATTCACAGAGGGTCGACGGCCACCAGCCATACTGAGCCACCTCCTCGCCGAGACCGATGAGCAGTAGCGACCGGGCAATGGTCATGCCCAGGACCGTGCCAAGGGCCTGGGCAATGGAAGCCGAAATGAAGCTGCCATGTGCCGGGGGCGGGGCGGAGGACACCGCGCAGAGCATGTCAGTGTCGTGGATCGTATGTGATTCGTTATTCTCAGCTGCCGC